CTAGTCACATCATCTTTTCTAACTCCTTGTGAACCTGGTAATATTTCTCAGGAGCCAAGTCAGAGGAAGATGTGGATATTTCCCTCATCAATTGTTAGACTCAAGATTATTGAGTCTATTAAGTAGACTGTAACAATCAAGTTTTTATGACAACCACCCTTTTTATTTTCGGTTAAAGTTTCTGCAATTCTATAATGTTTTTTGAGATCTTCTGTGATAGTGTGATAGTTGTGATAATTGCTTCCAAAAATAGAATCACAGAACATTTTCAAAAGAAACCTATAAAATATCAGTACATTTTCCCTTTTTTTCATGCAGTAGTACTTTTTTCTGCATTGTCCTATGCAATATCTTGAAAAATGCTAATAAATAATGTTCTTCTTCCCATTAGTACCTTGCCAATATCTGTGACTTTCTGCCATCACCAAAGTGACTGAATGTTCCTGAACAGTTACACAGGTGTCATTGGGCACAAAGGAGAAAATTCTCCTGGGTTAAGTGCTTAGACAAGAAGCAGGAAATGCAGTTTGAATGATTTGTACCTTTGCTAACCAAAGATAGGCTGTCTATTAATTTTTAGCAATTAATTCACAGTAGATATTTCTATGCAGTGATTTTCATCTTTGTTCTTTTCCAACCACTTATGAAAGAGGCCTGGTTTATTAGCCACATAAATAAACTAAAAGGCATATGTATTCAGTGGCCATTCTCAAAAAAATAGCTCATTAAAATTATATTGCAAATGTCAGAGTGGATTCAAAAATTCCTTTCTAAATTCAGAATTATATAACTCTAGATTAGTGCATTCCAAGACAAACTGGGCTATGCTTAGCAGCAATTCAGAAAAATTGAGACTGCGGTGATGTCCTGGTCCTCTCAATGTGAAAATTATGTTTATGTGGCACAAAATGTTGCCCTTAGAGATGGGACTACAATCAAGGAGCTGGAATGCTTAAAGTCATAGGAAAGCAGTGATTTCGGGGGAAGAGTGAAGGTTTAGCAAATATGTCCCATGGGAGTAGTTCTAGGAGAAGAACCTTATAACAAACAAAGCTAGAACTGCACAAAACTTGCAGCTCTGAGATAGGAGGCAGTTCACATGGAACCGAGTTTAGTCATAGAAAACCTGAAACAAATGAAGCTCGCAGACAACCCCTAAATTGTTCTTCATCTTCTCTCACCTTCCTACTTGGGAGTTTCTGATTGCAACACCTACTTTTTATGTCCTCCAAGGCACAAAGGAATAGTTGGAACAAAAAGAAACTAAACAACTGGAAGTCTGACTAAGGCCAAGAAGGGTGCAATAGAGCAGACCAAGATGAATTGAGAGAAGAGATCCAGTCCCTGTTATGTCACATGCTAGGCAAGAAAACATACTGGGGATGGAGAGATTGTACAATCCCCAGCACCCTATGTGGGCCCCTGAGTACTGCCAGGAGAAATTACTAAGTGAAGAGCCAGGAGGAGTAACCCCTGCTGGTGTGGCCCCCACTGGAAGGAAGGAAGAGAGAGAAAGGAAAGGAAAGGAAAGGAAAGGAAAGGAAAGGAAAGGAAAGGAAAGGAAAGGAAAGGAAAGGAAAGGAAAGGAAAAAGGAAAGGAAAGGAAAGGAAAGGAAAGGAAAGGAAAGGAAAGGAGGAAGGAAGGATAAAGAAAGAAAGAAAGAAAGAAAGAAAGAAAGAAAGAAAGAAAGAAAGAAAGAAAGAAAGAAAGGGAAGGTAAGAAGGAGAAGGTAAGAAAGCGAAAGAAGGAAAGAGAGAAAGAAAGAGAAAGAAAGAAAAGAAAAAAGAAAAGAAGGAAGGCAAGAAAAGAAAGGAAGGAAGGAAGGAAGGAAGGAAGGAAGGATAGGAGAGAGAGAAAGGAAGAAAGAAAGGAAGGAAGAAGAGAAAAAGCAAGCAAGCAAGTCAAATCTGATACAGAGGCACAGTGATAAGCTCATTTTGAACTTGGGCATCTTCATATGTGTATTTGGTTCAAAAAGTCCTTTGTTTCAGAATTGTAGGAATATGTATGAATTTTATATAGCAGTAGTTTCCCAGTGCTTGTCTATAGATTGGTGCATGAAAACCACTGACAAAAAGCACACATTCACACATTCCTGGAATATTTTAGTGTTCAATGGAATCAATTGCTGATTCAGATATATGCATTTATGATCGAGTGCATTAAATTATTTTCATTGAATGTGGCACACCTAGATATGCTCTGTTCTCAGGAGTGACCCTTGACAGTGCTAACAATGAAAATGCTCGCACTGTTAAGGGTCATCTGTGATGTTGGGGATTCAATCCAGGTTATTTGGAATGCAAGGTAAATTTCTTTAACTCCTTATTAACTCTGACTGCTTTCTTTCCTTTCTTTTAAGAAAATTGAGGTATCATAATTTACAATAGTAGAAGTTGCTGTTTCATAGTTGTGGTGCTACTATGCTAATCCTCACCATTATCCCATGGTCCCTGCTCACCCACCTGACACCACCCCAATACTACTGGTCATGTATCAATGTTTGTTTGTATTGGGCATTGTCTAATCCCTTTTATTGTTTCTGTATGCTCTGCATATGAGCAGGAATATTTAATATTTCTTATTCGGAGGTAGGAGAGGCTGTGGTCAGGGATCACACTTAGAGGGCTTCAAGGATCAAAAGGGCTGCCGGGGATCAAATCTAGGTAAGCTGTGTGTTATGCAAGTGCCTTACCTGCTGTACTAACTCTCCCACCCCAGAGTCATCTAGTAATTCTCTGTGACTTTTTTATTCACTTCACTTAGTATGAGACCCTCCAATCCCAGGCTAAAATTGTATCTTTTCTCATAGCTACACGGTATTCTATTGATCCACTCTTCCATTCTTCGGAACTTGGGTTGTTTGCAGATCTTGGATATTGTAAATAGTGAGACAATAGATACAGAAAAATGCCAATCTATTTGGATTAATATTTTTGTGCTTTTGGGGTAGATGTTCAGGAGTGGAATTGCTGAGTCATGTGGAAATTCTATTTGTGACATTTTTAGATGGGGCCGAACCAGTTTTCAAAGAACAACCATGGGCATATGTTTTCTGAACCCAAAAAACAAATTGTTCAGAAAATTGGACATGGTATATCATGCTGAACAGAATATATGGTTGGGAGTAAAACTATTATTTCTCCCTCCGCTTATATGTTCCTCCCTTTGGTGGAATGTCCTCCCTAGGTGAATATAATTTATAATATCCTAGAATCAACTCCTTATATCCTACCCTGCTATCCAACCCAAAGGCTTGGTTTTAATCCCTAGCAGTGCAGGGTTCCTGAGAATGACCCTCAAGCAGAGATCCAGGAGTAGTTCCTGAGCATTATTGCACTGGGTATTGTAACCTCAACACATACATGCACAAATTCAACTTGAGTCTAAAGATTCTAGATGAATAGTTGGTACAAGAACTATGTCCTAACCCTTCAAACTGTCCTGCAAAAAGGTGCTCTTACATGCAAGTCAGGGAATTTATAAACAAACTTCTTGAATTATACACCATTTCCTAGTCCCATTCAAACCCTTCTACCTTGTCGGGGTTTTTCGCCATGAATGTACTGGTTTTGTTTTAAAAAGTATAGACATTTTCAGCTATATTCACCACTTTTCTCTGATCATCTAGTATGTTGCAGGTACCCACACAGATTAAATCTGGACCTTACATAAAGAATGTGCTTTATCACTTATGCCACACAGCTCTGGTCCATTGGGTCATTTCTTTAAGAGTCACAATTTTGTGAGTCTCGAGAAAATCTTTTTTCTCATTAATTTTTATTTATTAGCTTTTGGGCTACACTCAGCTGTTCAGGTATTACTCCTGGCAGGGTTCAGGAAACCACAGGAGATAGTAAGAATTGAACTCAGGTCAGCCACATGCAAGGCAAATTCTACCTGCTGTACTATCACTCCAGCCCTGGGGTTAGGGTCCCAAGCCCAATCCCAACAACCTGTAGAAAAAGAAAACATCTCCTCAACACTGTCAAAACAACATTTTAATTTATTTCACTCCCTTTAAAAGGTAATGTTTGCTTATTGTTTGCCAGACTACTCCGAGGTAACCTTACTAAATTAAAAGATTTTCTTTCTTATACCATAACAGAATGCCAGTTCAGTAGTTTATAGGTGATGATTCTCAAGGAACTATCATCTCTAAAAAATGACTAGATCAGAATTTCACTCCAATTTGCTTACCAGGTAAAAGAAATTGCTACCAACAATCATACACACACATGCACACTCCATACACACATGCACACTCCACACACACACACACACACACACACACACATAAATAACACATGGTGGTATACCTGAGGGATTTTAGGTGGTTCTGTGGCTCAAACCCATTTATGTGTAAGAGTTATGCATTCCTGGTGTGCATTATTTATATATTTTTGGGCCACCTATAACACTGGTCAGGGGTTATTCCTGGCTCAGGAATTACTCCTGACAGTGCTCAGGGGTCCATAAGTGGTCCTAGGGATCAAATCCTGTTTGACTTCATAGAAAGGCAATCACCTTGTTTGCTATCGTATTCTCTCCATCCCCTGTATGATTCAATATTGTAGAACAAGGGTTTATAAGAGATTTTAATATATATTTAGATTTTTCCTCCATTGGTTCCAATGATGTAAAGCAAGTTCTTCCAAGTTATCAAAAAATGCTCTCAGCAATGATATGCTGTCTTTATCCAGATGAGGAAATAAGACGTAGTCCTTATATATTATAACATAACTAATATCATCCATAAACCTAAAGGTTTCAATGATGATAAAATATATAAAAAGAAACATTTCTATAATACATTAGCAAAAAATAAAATTTCAAGTTATACATACAAACTTGGAACATGCAGACATAATACACAGACTAACATGTTTCATTTAGAAGTCCCTCAGATTTATTGGTATAAACACCATCAGCTTTTGAAAGCTGTACCTGAGGAAACTCTGCCAGGCTGCATCGGGGCTTAGAAGAGGCTGACTCATACCCAGAGTCCCTCCTTGGCTATGCCCCTCTTGATTTCATCCTCCAATGCTTCCTCGTATTTATACCCAAAGTCACTTGGGATGGCTTCATTAACCATGGCCATGAACTCAAGAACTTTCATCTTAGATGTTTCGGCATGAGCTCTTTTGCCCCACAGAAACTCAAAACAATTAGGTTCATTGGCCATCTGCCGATATACCAGGTAGTTCTCTCTCACAAAGTGATTGGTTATAAGCTCCTTGGTGTCTCCAAACACAAAATGATGCTCATTAGCATATATTCCAATTTGATTCAGAATGTCCCATATGTCTTGTTCGGTGGCAGAGTTGTCCTTCATGAAGATGATACCTAGTATTAGGATAAGAATGCCAGTCTTAGGGATTCCTTCTTTACCACAACTCATCCCATCAAATGTGAGACCCAGACTAATAATGAAGATATAGCAGTGGTTGGTTTGATCGACTTCTTTCACATCAAGGCCAAATATCATTTCCATCCTCTTATGGGCTTTGAGGAATATCTCATTGAAGTGATGTTCATAGTTTTTGATGACTCTCTGGATCATCTCTTCCTTGGTTATTGGTTCTTTCATTTGATATTTCAGCAGCATTAATTTCACTAGTGAAGCGACTTTACTCTCGATCATATCTGCAGACACATTGCTGAGATTTTCTATAGTCTGTGCAGACTGTGGTGTATCATTTATTTTCGGATTATGGAAACCATTAGCCAGTCTGCCAAATGACACAGCGATGATATTTCCGGAAGCTAACTGGGTGATTCGAGTAAATGATGACGTGCTGGGCATAGAAGAATCAACAGCATCACGTTCACAGTTGGATATGTCAGGATTAGATAAAAGAGATAATTCCCTCATAGCTTCGGAAATAGCAACAATCTCATTGGTGATATTGGTTAAGCTGGGGGCCTCATTGTTATCACTGTCATTCTGGACTTCTGGGGGTATGTTCTTCTGATCTTTAGGCATGATGAATAAAGAGGTACCTTCACTAGTAGGAGATGAAAATGGGGAATCACTGCCTAAAAAAAAATGGTTAAATGTGAGTAGCTCCATCTCTAAGGACAATTGTGGCTCTGATACAAGTCATCTCCAATGGTCTTCTGATAGTAGTAGTAGAGGACTCTACAGCTTTTTAAAGTTCATTATAAAAAAGTACTGGTTGCTAGATATTTAATAATAACATGAAAGAGGTAGACTAAATGTTCTCCCAGTGAAGTCAGAAAACACAGGCTGAGGTCTCAGGGATAACAGTAAGAAGATATTGGTTGGAATCAAGCAAAACACTTTTGTTCTGAGGTGGTGGTAGTCAGTCCTCACTGAGGTGCAGAATGTTGCAATTAAATACAGCTTGGTCTCCTTATACTAACACCAAGGTAGACAACTGGACACAGGTTGAGAAATATCTCCTCCATATACCCTCCTAGATTGGCCCAACTCGAACTTAGAGGTCTCATTAAGTTTCCTTACTTTGAGTCAAGTAAAGTTCTGGATGATGATGATGAGTATTATTGCTGAATTAACACTGACTACCCTGGTTACACATCCTCTACAACCTCCTGCGATCTGAAGATAAGAACTAGGCATCACATCAGCTTACTACCCAGGCTTACCCTTAGTCTCTCAGCACTAAAAAAGGTGTTGACGAGACTCAGTGATTCCCGTATTTGAGGAATCAGGTTGCTTGGTAAACACTTAAGACTCCTGAGAAGTTCCCTGAGAAGAGAGGAAGATCAAAGATCGAGACCCCTTGCTGGGGTTTCCCTGGGCTCAAAGTAGAAGCTAGATACTGTGAGGATATCTCTCTTCTAGGCTGGCCAGAGCCCTCAGGCCCTGCTTATGATCCTTATTGTGACTAGTGCCAGACATTCAATTCCTCCGTTTGCTGACCTCAAGTGACCAAGGCACTATTCCAAGGACATAAACTGACAAACTCCCAGGAAGGAAAAGAGCAGACAATTTGTCACAGACCACTGCCCGGGATTTTAGGCTGATAATGATACTAGAGCTGTTTGACACCCCTGTGTTCTGGGCTGACTTAGATTGGGTCCTGCCCTCCTTGGTTACCCTATCCACTGCAAATCAGAACTTGTCACCCCTACCCCAGGACACAAGTGCTACCTCCCTAGATCTTAGTGATTTTTGTGAGCTTGTGATTCTTCTGGTCACCATGTTTGGGACTTGACAGAGAATCACAACATGGGCAGGAATATTATAATGTCTCATCTTAGAATGCTCATCTTAGAATGCTCATCTTAGAATGGATTATACGAGACAAACCATGCTGACAAACTCTCATAAACTTAAGTTTCACTTAAGTTTCAGTGACATGATGGACAATTAAGGGGTATTATATCAGATTTTCCTAATATGAAAGTGGGCTTAGACTCTTTTGGAGTCATTCTTTTCTGGAGCAGATATCTCCCCCATTAGCTCACTTAATTCACTGAGTTATTTCAAATGGTAAAACTGGGATGTAGCATAAAACTTTTAACAATAATCAAGTAGTTAAAGGGTATGCTATTAAATATAAAAGGCATTTGAAGAAAGCAAACATTGTTTGTCTTCACTTGTCAAAAAAACCCATAAATGGAACAATCACCAAAATTAAAAACACCTGTTACATGAAGAGAACAAAATGATGGTTGACACAAGGGATGATGGGTAGTTATAGATAAATCAGGTTTAAAAGGAGACAATTCTATGGTTATGGATGCAAAGTAGACTGCATGTGATCAGAAAATATACAGATGTCAAATTAAAAGGATATACACATTTAAATTAAATAGTAGGTACAACAAATGCCCCATAAACTAATTCAATTTTTTCATTTTTAGAAGATGAGTCTTTCATTTGGAATTTGGGAGGCCATATGTTTCCAGGGACTTACATGTAAGCTATATAGTCCAGACTTTTGGAATATCTTTCATGGTAAATCAATTTATTCATTTACATTTATTTGTTTGATGGTTTTTATGTGTGTGTGTCTGTTGCTTCTCCACTAACCAGTCAGATTTCAGGTGTTTTGTTTTATTTTCTTTACTAATAACACAGACATGAAAATTAATTAAAAGCAAATGCTACTAAAAGTTGCTTTTGTTAGGAAGTAAAGGGAAATTTAATAGTAATTTTTTGGTTAATATAATTGACTAACTTCAATAATTGGGGATAATCCAGTGAGTTTAATGTAAACCAGAGACATAAGCATGTAATGCAAGAAATGAAGCCATGTATTGGGGACACACAGCAATAAAGAGTATGAAACAATGGAGACTTATAAATAATGGAAATTAATGTATAATAAACCTTAAATAAGTGAAAATACCATAAATAATATACAATTAGAGAAAGTATGTTTAAGTGTTTAGAGAATGAATTATATTTGGTATTGTAATTATAAGATGAATTATATTTGATATTGTAATTATAAGATAAATCATAAATTATGTTTTTATTGGATTACTGTGAGATAGTTACAAAGCTTTCATGTTTAAGTTTCAGTCATACAATAATTAAATACCCACCCCTCCACAGTGCACATCTTCCACTACTAATGTCCCCAGTATCCTCCCCATCCCAGCCCTCCCCCTGCCTCTATGACAGACAATTTCTCCCATACTCTCTCTTTACTTTTGGGCATTATGGTCTGCAATACAGATACTGAGAGGTTATCATGTTTGGTCCTTTATCTACTTTCAGCACACATCTCCTATCCCGACCAATCCCTCCAAACATCATTGACTTAGTGATCCCTTCTCTATTCCAGCTGTCTTGTCCCCCAGCTTATGAAGCAGACTTTCAACTATGGAGCAATATTTCTAGCCTTTGTCTCTAGTGTCCTTGGGCGTCATTTTCCTATTATGTTATTTTATATTCCACAAATGAGTGCAGTCATTCTATGTCTGTCCCTCTCTTTCTGATTCATTTCACTTAGCATGATACTCTTCATGACCATCCACTTATAAGCAATTTCATGCCTTTATCTTTTCTAACAGCTGCATAGTATTCCATTGTGTCGATGTACCAAAGTTTCTTTAACCAGTCATCTGTTCTTGGGCACTCAGGTTGTTTCCAAATTATGGCTACTGTGAACAATGTTGCAATGAACATACAGGTGCAGATATCATTTCTACTGTGCTTTTTTCACCCTCGGGATATGTTCCCAGAAGTGGTATTTCTGGGTCATATGGAAGCTCAATTTCTAGTTTTTGAAGAGATGTCCATATTGTTTTCCAAAAAGGCTAGACCATTGTCATTCCCACCAACAATGAAAGAGCCCCTTTCTCCCCATATCTTCCTATATTTTAAATAACTTAATTTTTTTAAATGTGTCCATTTTTCCAAGACCCCATGACTTGAATATCCTAAGTTATCTATCAGGTAATAAACCAGACCAGTAAAATTCAGGGACTTTATAAAAATATTTTTCCTTTATAATAATCATTGAGATGGTTATAGGGACAGTTTAATTAATGAAAATCATTTATCTAAATGCAATCTTATTTTTTTTAATTATCGGCAGGATTTTTTTTGTCTTGTTTTTCCACTTTTTTTTTTCAAATGTAGGAGTACTGCTATTTATTCAGCCATTGATTAAGCTGATTGAATTTGGCATAAACTCCACTATCTACAGGATATTGATTGCTGAGAACAATACTTTAGTATTATTCAATTTCTGGAATAATACTAAAGTTGTTACTAAATAAATACTAAAGAATAAAGTTGTTAATCTTTGCTATCTAGATATTTTAGCAACAAAAATGACTTTTACTATTTGTTATGTCTGAAACTTATTTTTTTACTTTTTGTTTAAACTGAGTTTGTTCACCCACGCTTTAGTTTTACTTAAAAAATATAATTAATATTACAGAGCAAATAAAGATTTATTGCAACATATCAAATAAGTTATTTCTTTACTGAAAATAAATACAACTTCAAATATCTTCTAGATATTTACCAAATTATAGCATGTTTTTCTCAGATCCATTTATTTATCATTGTTCTCTAATATCTTCAAACTACTACAATCTATTGCATTTACAATCATTAATGTATTAATTAATAATAGGATTGGTGGATCATAGGGGAAAATCTCCTACCCCTCTGAGTTCATTTGAAGCCAGACAAGTGATCATATGGGTTAGCAAAGGAACAACAAATTTAATAACATAAATATGGAGAATTTACATAGCTGTACAGTCTAAAGAAAACAAGACAGACCAAGGAACAAGAGATCTGGGACATCAAGGAAAGCAAAAAGAGACTTCGAGTGATAAGAAACAAATGTTCCCATCTTTTTTTAAAAAGTAAGATAGTTTTATTGAAACTAACTTAGAAAGATATGAGGGGAGAGAAAGGGAGATATATTTGTTAGAGAGAGAACATAGCTTCTCCAGAGTGGGAATGATCAAGCAAAGAAATAAGCAAGGGAGATAAGTTTTCAAGAAAGAGCGAGGACTTGAAGAGCAAGCCTGTTCCCATCATTTTCTTGATGAGTTTCTTAGAATGTGTTAACTGATTAATGTAAGCCTGGATGACAACCCCCAAACTACCAAACTACATTCTTCTCAAGTCATAAAATGGAAAAATAGTGATTGATTCTTCAACTAGAAAATTACTAAATTTAAGACAAAGACAACAGATTCTTCTCAGCTCTGAGAATGAGGATCTTTACCTCTCAATTAAAATTTTCTGAATTCTTCAGGAAATATTAACAGACTTCCGAAGGCCTGCAGGGTATCTAGTGACCTTTACTTTCCTTTACAAAGATGACACTTATTGAAAGAGGCTTACTCTGAGTACATGGACAAAAGCCTATGTAACCCTTTTGAGGAGACTAATCCAAGCCAGGTATTTTATCATCATAATTATTTGATCAAAACAATTCCCTGAATTTCAATGATTTCATTACGCTTCTCTAATTAATTGATGGTTGCTTTCCCTGCTCTTCACTTGTCTTAATTTGGAGC